GGCCTCCTGCAGTGCCACAATGATGCCACCCGAAGTTTGCAGGAACAGCATCTCGTATTTCGCTTGGGAACCCTGCAGCCCAATGGTATCAATGTGGACTTCACAAGCTTCAAAATCTCCCCTCCCCCACCGCATCCCAAAACCAGCCCAGCTCGTCCCCGCTTCCCTGACCTGTCCTTCCTCCCACCTATCCCCTCCTCCCACCTCAAGCCCCACCCCCATCTCCTACCTACTAGCCTCATCCGGCCCCCTTGACCTGTCCGTCCTCCGTGGATTGACCTATCCCCTCCCTAACTCCCCACCTACACTCGGCTTTACTGGCTCCATCCCCGCCTCTTTGACCTGTCTGTCTCCTCTCTACCTATCTTCTCCTCTATCCATCTTCTATCCGCCTCCCCCTCTCTCCCTATTTATTTCAGAACCCCATTCCCCTCCCCCATTTCTGAAGAAGGGTCTAGGCCGAAACGTCAGCTTTCCTGCTCCTCTGATGCTGCTTGGCCTGCTGTGTTCATCCAGCTCTACACCTTTGTTATCTCATTACATTACTGGGATGTTTCCCTCCCTACACCCTCACCACCACCGGCCACCACCCCCCCTACACTCACACACTCGCACACGCTCACACACACACACACACGCGCGTCAACGATGCGCCTGCGAGGAAACAGGATTTCCCAAAAGGGGCAGTGAGCAGCCAGAGGTCATGGCCCATATTGGTTGTAACGACCTAGGCAGGAAGAGAGATAAGATCCTGCAAAGGGAAGTTAGAGAGTTAGGTAGAGAGTTGAAAAGCAAAACCTCTAGGTTGAAATGTTAGGAATATTCCCTGTGCCACGTGCTAGGAATAGGAAAATACTGCAGTTGAATATGTGGCTAAAGACTTGGAGTAGGAGGGAAGGCTCCAGATATCTGGATAATTGGGATCTCATCTCGGGCAGGAGGGACCTGTACAAGGACAGGTTACACCTAAACTGGAGGGACATCCTTGCAGGGAGGTTTATTAGTGCCACTTGGGAATGCTTAAACTAGTGTGGCATACGGGGTGGGAACCAGAACAGTAGGTCAGTATGTGGAGTAATTGAGGAGAAGGTAGAGGTTAAGTCAGGTAAGTTGAACAGGCAGGGTCAAGTTAATGAACACGATGGGGTTAGTGGTCTGAATTGTATTTAGTTTAAATCAAAGAGTATGACAGGCAAGGCAGATGAGCTGAGAGCCTGAATTAATACATGGAACTGTGATGTTGTGGCTATTATAGTAACTCAGTTGAGAGAAGATCTGGACTAATGGCTCAACGTTCTAGAGTTTAGATGTTTCATGCGTGATAGAAAGGGATATAAATTTCTTTCTTAATTCCATGGGATGAGGGCGTCACTAGCTAGTCACTGCCCATCCCTAATTTCCCAGAGGGCAGTTAATGGACAACACATTACTGTGGGTCTGGAGACACATGAAGGCCAGACCAGGTAAGGATGGCAGTTTTCTTCTCTAAAGGACATGAGTGAACCAACTGGGTTTTTTCCAACTATCGACAATTGATTCATGGTCATCATTAGACTTCTAATTCATATTTTTTTAAAATTCAAATTCCACCATCTGCTGTGGCTGGATTCGAACCGGGATGCCCAGAACATTATTTGGGTCTCTGGGATTGACAGTCCAGCAATAATACCACCAGCCTGGGGTGGGGGAGCTGCATTATCGATTAAAACAAATGTCATAGCTACTCAAAGAGAGGGCATCTTGTAGGATTCATCCAGCGAGGTCATATGAATAGAACTCAAGAAGTCCAAAGATGTGCAAGCTAGGTGGATTGGCCAAGCTAAATTGCCCATAGTGTTCAGGGATGTGTAGGTTAGGTGGGTTATGTGGTTTGGGTCTGGGTGGGATGCTGTGAGAGTTGGCGTGGACTTGTTGGACCGAAGGGCCACACTGAGGGATTCTATGAAATTCTATGAAATAAGAAAGTTGCGATCACCATGATGGCATTATACCCCAATAGCAGTGGATAAAGGAACAGATATGTAAGCAGATCATGTAATAATGTAAAAACAACAGGGTTATTGCAGTGGAATGTTGAAAAACAGAAACATAAACAGAAATTTTCTGTTTTTGTTATTGACTGGGACTCCCTTAGTTCCAGGCCCTTAGATGGACAGAATTAGTTAGGTACCTCCAGCAGGGTTTCTTGAAACAATATGTAGAGAGTCCAACTAGGGAAAGGAGCCATACTAGACCTTGTATTGGGGTATGGGCCTGGCCAGGTAATTAAAGTTTGAGTGGGGTAGCATTTTGGCAATAATGATCATAATTCCATAAGCTTTAAGATAGTTATGGAGAAGGATAAGACTAGTCTTCAGGTGAAAGTTCTAAATTTGGGGGAAGACTAATTACAACAATATTAGGCAGGAACTGGAGAAATTAGATTGGGCGCAGCTGTTGGAGGGTAAATCCACATCTGAAACATGGGAGTCTTCGAAAGGCAGGTTGATCAGAGTTCAGACTTATTAGGAGCATGAGGCTAGCAAGGGAAAGGCTAGGGCCACTCAGGAGAGAATTTATGCATGGAGCCAGAGGAAATGGGTGAGGTCCTTACTACTGATAGGAAGGATTCAGTATTCAAACTGAAAACTAGACATGCAGCATTCAGGTGAGATGACCCTGACCAAGAAATCCAGACATGATCTCCGCAAAGCCATCAGGATGCCAAGAGGCAGTACTGGACCAAGTTAGAGGCCCAAACCTACCAAACAGACTCCCGCCACCAATGGCAAGACCTAAACAACATTACGGGAGCAAGATAGCAGACAAAAACACATCCCTCCCTGACGTGCACAATGCTTTCTATGCTCGGTTTCAGCAGAATGCCAGCGACGTAGGGACATCTGCCCTGACAGCCCCAGACATACCTGATCCCTTGGTCACCACTGCAGATGTCAGATCAGCGTTCCTGGGAGTCAACCTAAGGAAAGCAAGGGGCCTGTACGGTGTCCCCAGCCGAGCACTCAGATCCTGTGCAGATCCACTGGCAGAGGTATTCACCGACATCCTACAATCTCCATCCTACAATCCGAAGTCCCCACGTGCTTCAAGAAGACCATCATCCCCATACCTAAGAAAGCCATGCAACGTGCGGTAATGACTACCGTCCAGTGGCTCTGACCTCCATAATCATGAAGTTCTTCAAGAGGCTGGTCATGGCCCACATCAACCCCAATCTCCCAGCCTGCCTCGATCCCCTAAAACTTGCCTACCGACATAACAGCTGTACAGGATGTTAACCGTGTCCTCCATGGTTTGGACTGGAGTTAGGTGCAGGCCAGACTGCATGGTTGATGGTAGCTTAGGTTCCCTGAAAATGATTAATCAATCAAGGCAAACCTCTTGACAGCCAAGCAGCATTTGTGGTCAAAGTCTGTCATCACTGTCCTCAGATGAACATATTTATTGAATTTCTCAGTTTACTATGATTTGTTAGGAATTTTCCACTGCTGAAGAAAATGTCTTCAAGTAATTATTCTTGATTCAACTCAAAATGTTTTACTGGTTCTTTGGCTGCTAATTAAATTAAGACAAACTGTACCCAGTTGGTCACTCAGTACCTTGTATAGAGTATTCATCCCTATATTTATAAGCAACCCTGGGGGTCGTTGTGAGCAGCTAATATGTTGCACAGAAATCCTGCTGTGATTTTTCAAGTAATGTCTTCACTCCGTTTCAGCTCTGATATTTCGTTTGGAAGGAAAAATTCAAGAGTCTCTTGAGCTCTTTCAGACCTGTGCAATTCTAAATCCTCAGAATGTGGACAACCTGAAACAGGTGGCTCGATCACTGTAAGTATTCATGTGTGTATGTAGGAAAACTACTGAGTAAAGGCAAATCTGGCCTGCATATAAAAGGCACTAGATATGATTGTGCTGCCTACAGTTTAATTTGCAAACTTTAGGCATGACTTCCCAGCTTCCATCCTACTATGTAGGACTACCCTTCTTATCCAGCCCTGAAATCATTAGCACTTTAGTTCCGTATACTCCCTGCACCTTGCTACCCTGGACCTCTCTAACTTTTGACCATTGTGTCAATCTCCTAGCCTCTTCTTTTACCAACTGCTTTCAATGTATGCCTCTGTGTCATGCATCTGGGTTATCTTAATGCAGCAAAGGTCTTCTGGGAATTTAAGTTAGTGACTGTACAGACCCATTCCCAGTGGAAATTAATACCTGAATATTCTATTCTTTTGTTAGGTTTCTGCTTGGGAAACACAAAGCAGCAATTGAAGTTTACAGCGAAGCTGCAAAATTAAATGATAAGGATTGGGTAGGTTATATTAGCAAACTGGTATTAATCAGCTTGTGGAAAAAATGTGATCTGTTGATGATGAATGAGCATGATGCAGTTCAGTGTTGGTAGGAACCAGGAGACGGAATCAATTAGTTATTTGCATGGAAATGATTTTGTGATTGATGTGTTCCAAGTTATGAAACAGTAAGAGAATGGGAAAGGTTTTTTTCGCTCCATTCTTTTTCATATGATTTGATTTCTGTTCTAATTGCATCCATTTAGGAAATCAGCCACAATCTCGGTGTCTGCTTCATGCATTTGAAGAATTTTGAGAAGGTAACTGGAGATGACTCATAGCTGCTTAAAAGTTCTTTTTGCCAAAAAAAATTATTGGAATGAATCATTTTGTACTCAAGATGACTGCTGTTAGAGCAAGGAATAGAATTTTCCTTTATAGTATTAAACACTTGGAAGAAGTTAAATTTTGATTAGATAGAGAAAGAAAAACTCCCTCAATATTGTCCCCATAAAACACTCCCAGGACATGTATAGCATAGGGTTAGTTACAGATTAAAGTTTTCTCTACTCTATCCAAATTAAGCATTTTCAGGGTAGGTACAGCATGGGATCAGATACAGAATAAAACTCTTTTCCATTATCTTGGTCTAGAGGTTTATAAACCCTATGGGTTAGAGGGCTGAAGCATAACTTAATCAAAGAGTTTGATTTGTAAATACAAGGAACCAATTGCTCTGGTAAGGGAGTGTGAAACAAGGAAGTAATATTGGTAACATACAAATTAGAAGCAGGAGTAAAGCACTTGGCTCCTTGACACTGCTGCGCCATTTATTAACATCATGGCTGAAGTGATTACTCCAGGTTCCCACTTACTGCAATAATATTTTACTCTTTTCCTTATCAAGAATATGACCATCTCTGCCTTAAAAATATTCAAAGACTCCACTTCCGGCACCTTTTCAGGAAGAGAAGTCTAGACATTTATGACTCTGTCGGGGGGAGATAAAGAAAGCTCCTCATCTCAGCCTTACACAGATGTCTCCTTGTTTCTAGAATCTCCCACAGAGAAAACTTCTTTCCACACGTGCCCTGTCAAGGCCCCTCAGGATCTTATTTGTTTTAACTAGAGTTAGTCCATTCATGAATTAAATCAGGAAGTACTTTTTCATACAAACTGTATTAGAAATATGCCTCAAATGACTGTGGATGCTGAGAGTCAGTTGACACTGTCAAAACCTTTACAATTTTTCAAAGTTTTCAAATAATAGATTTTTGTTGGGGATAGTATATTGAGTAAAGAAGGAGAAACAGAGTTGAGGCACACATTACTCATGGTCCAAGACAGTGTATTTGTTTCTCTGTCTCTTCCCTGCAGGACCCATTCATCTACCGTGTTAACAACAACTTAGCTGGAAACTTGGAATATGATTTTAAAATAAGGTCCCTGGGCATTATGAGCTGCATTTGTATCAGGTCCTGCTGTAGTTTACCCTTGTTTAACCATTGGAATTTGACTTGATTTGACTGTGTTCCCATCAGTTTAGAGAACTGATAAGTGGGTTGTGAGTGCCAAACTTAATCCATAATATGGCGACAGGCTGTTTGAGAGTTTATCTGTTTAATCATAGTTTAAGAATCTTCCAGAGATAATTACCAGGGAAAACAATTCTTCCAAGCTCGTCCAGTCCTGACCTCTTGTGTATCTCTGATTTTAATCGGTGGCCAGGCTTTGTCCTGCCAAAAGCTCTGGAATTTCCTCCTTAGATTTCTCTGGCCTACTTTTAAGACTGTCTAACAACGACTTTTGTTACCTGGGTAAAATGTTATTTTGCAACGTTTCTGTGAGATATTCTGGTACAAAATTCTCAATACAAATTTTTGGTGTTGCCCGTACAGTATCTCTAAAGCAGACAGCTTATTTAAGGAACGTCAAACTTACCAGAAATTGAAGCAAAACAGAAATTGCCAGAAAACCTTGGCAGGTTTGACAACATCTGTGGGGAGAAAGCAGAATTAATGTTTCAGGTCCAGTGACCCTACAGAACAGGGCCTGAAACATTAACTGTGCTTTCTCCCTACAGATATTGCTAGAACTGTTGAGGTTTTCTAGCAATTTTTGTTTTTGCTTCTGATTTCCAGCATCTACAGTTCTTTTTGGGTTTTTTTCTGACTCAAGATTGAGTTAATTTATGAACTATGCTGCCATCTAGAGCTAGAAGAAGAAAGTGAGCAGCTTCAATCCAGAAGATGCAATAGAGAATAAAAACTGAAAGAACTGCAGATGTTGTAAATCAGAAATAAAAACAGAAGTTGCTGGAAAAGCTCAGCAGGTCTGGCAACATCTGTAAAGAGAAATCAGAGTTAATGTTTGATCCAGTGAGCTCTCCTCAGAATTGGTGCAAAAGAGAGACTGGTTTTAGAGTAGGGTGAGAAGGAGACGAGTGGTGTCACCTCAACTCCTGTGAGAAACTGCTTTTACGTTGTTCATATTAAGTGTTGGATTACAACCCATACTTTAAGTAAACCAGCTGGCCTGTCACAGATAAAGAATTCATGTTCATTACTGGAAAAGAAAATGATTAGTGATCATGAGATTTGTTTCTTTGGGGCAATGTACTAATGAAGTAGTGAGGTAGGATGCTCACAGTTCAGTTATTGGGAATCTAATTATAATATCAAATAGTAAAGAGTACATTGGATCATGTATTCTATTCAATTACAACTTGAAGCACTGCTTTCTGTTTTGGTCATTATTGTGTAAGGGGAACATTTAAGCAAGAATGTGATGCAGGGAAGAGTTTGATCCTGAGTATGGAAGGAATGAATCGCAGTCAAGTTAGCATTGAATGAATTTGAGTTGCTGTATCAGTATCCTAGTGTGTTGCTTCAAAATTGAAGTTAAAACAATGCAGTTTAATAAGGTCATAGAAAAGCAACAAAAAGCTGTGGTTCATTTTTATAGTTATAGAATTACAGATATGAATTAAGAGTAGAACTAGGCTTCTCAGCCACTTGAACCTGCTTCACATTCAATCCAATCATGGCTGATCTGATTAAATCACACTTCTACCTACCTGCAATAGCCTTGTTATTCAATAATATATTTATCTCTGCCATCAAAATATTCAAAGATTCTTTCACTGATTTTTGAGGAAGAGTTTCAAAGTCTCATGACTCTGTTAGAAGCAATTCCTCCTCTTAACTGGGGAATCCCTTATTTTTAAGCAGTGGCACATTGTTCTAGATTTTCCTACAAATAGAAGCATCCTTTCCACATGCACCCTGTCAAAACCCCTTAGGATCTTCTACGTTTCAATCAAGATGTGTTTTACTCTTCTAGGTCCAGCAAATAGAAGTCTAGTCTATCCAACCTCTCAAAACAACCTGCCCATTCTAGCCATTAGCCTAGTAAACACTATCTGAACTGCTTCCAGTGTATTAATATCCTTCCTTAAATAAGGAGACCAATACTGTGCCCAGCACTCCAGATATGGTCTCACCAATGCACTGTACAACTGAAGCGTAACCTCTCTACCCTTGTATTAAATTCCCTCACAATAAACGATAACATTCTTAGCTTTTCTAATTACTTTCTGTCCATGCATACTAACCTTATGCAACTCATGTACTAAGACACCATATTTTTCTGTATCTTGGAGCTCCGTAATCTCTCAGCATTTAGATAAATCGCTTATTTTATATTTTTCCTGCTATGGACAATTTCACTTTAGACTAGTTGCCAGATCTTCACCTACTCATTAACCTACCCAGGTTCATTTGTGGCATCCTTATGTCTTCTTCACAACTTATTTTCCTCTCTGTCTTTGTGTCATCAGTAAATACAACAGTAGTACCTTCAGTCCCTTCATCCAAATCATATAAAACTGTAAAAGGTTGGCGATTCCACCACTGATCCCTGTGGCATATCACTCTTTCATTTGCCAGTCAGAAATGTCCCATTTATGCCTAATCTTTTTTTTCTGTTAGGCAGCCAATCTTTTATTTGTGCCAAAAAAAAACTTTGGTCAGTGGACAAAAGGATAAATCCTAGAATGTTCTAGACTCTGTCACACTTATGTGGTGGCTGGCGTGGTCAAGTCACGGATCATGCATAGTTGCTCTGAACTCTTGCAGACAGAGATTTCTCTGAAAATACAGTCTTGTGATGTTTCTCCAATCATTCTAAAGACAAAATAGGTTTCATCCTGAATTCTACTCTCAAGCTTTCATTTTAGCAGTGAGAGAGATCAGCTAGGCAGCTTGTTCTGAGCAAGCTTTCCTCCAATTCAGCTTATTCTGAGCAGTTTACCCTCCACCTGAACCAGATAAAATAAGAAAAGGAAAATAGGGACGATAGAAGGGGAGGCAAGAGAGGAGGGGGGGTTGAGTTTTTGATTGGGGAGAATGTAACAGCAGTATGGAGAGAGGACATTCTCAAGGGATTGTCCAGTGAGTTTGCATGGGTAGAACATTGTACTATAGGCCCCCCAATAATTGGTGGGAGATTGAGCAGCAAATATATAAGGAGATTGCAGATAACTGCAAGAATAATAAGGTTCTAATTGTAGGGGATTTTAACTTTTCTAACATTGACTGACTGGGATTGCCATAGTGTTAAGGGCTTGGATGGAGCGAAATTTGTGAAGTGTGTTCAGGAACGATTTCTTATGCAGTATGTAAATGGCCATCCTAGAAAAAGGGCAAAACCTAACCTTTTCCTGGGAATTAAGGCAGGGCAAGTGATGAAGATGTTAGCGGGGGAGCACTTTGGGACCTGGGACCATAATTCCATTAGTTTTAAAATAGCTATGGAAAAGGATAGGTCTGGTCCACAAATTAAAGTTCTAAATTGGAGCAAGGCCAATTTTGATGGTCTTAGACAGCAACTTTCAAAGTTGATTGGGGGAAGCTGTTTGCAGGCATAGGGATGTCTGGTAAAGGTGGGGGCGGGAGGTTTCAAAAGTGAGTTAATGAGGGTTCAGGACCAGCATATTCCTGTTAGAGTGAAGGGTAATGCTGGCAGGAGTAGGGAACCCTGGATAACGAGAGTTATTTGAAGCCCTGGTCAAGAAACACAAGGAGGCAAATGACATGTATAGATCAAGTGAATTCGTTGAGGAGTATAGAAGGTGTCAGAGTACACTTAAGAGAGAAATCAGGAGGGCTAAAGGGGACGTGAGGCGGCTTTGACAGATAAGGTAAAGGAGAATACAAAGAGATTCAACAAGGTACATGAAGGGCAAAATAGGGAGAGAATAGGATCTCTTAAAGATCAACATAGTTGTCTACATGCAGGGCCACAAGAGGTGGGTGAGATCCTACATGAATATTTTTCATCA